ATCTGACACGATTGGGCCGTCAAAGTTAGGGCAATGAATAATGTGCTGCTGAGTAGCAACCACCTCACGGCAAAGCCATCTTCAGGGTATTCAAGGCAAGAGATGTGCAGAGGTAGTTTGCCATTGCCTTCCTCTGCAGAGCAACCCGGGTCTTCCTTGGTGGTCTCCTGCCAAGTACTAACCATGGCTGATGTGGCTAAACTGAGCTATTCAGGCTGCATATACTTGGGGTCAGGTCACACGGACATTTAGTGCAGGCTTCGCTGCTGATCCCTCGCGCATTAAAGTTCCATGTTCATATAGGCAAATCCGCCTCCCGCACCGAAGCGGGCTTAGTCCTGCGGTTTCCGCTCTTTTTATCTGCGTTTTCTGACACCCGTTGGAACAGGTGTTTTCCCGATATCTCGCGCTTTGTATCCGCGGTTTTGGTATCTGGACAGCAATCCGCCATGACCGCAATACCTTCCCCCCTCCCTTTTTTTTGTGTTTCCGGTTTTAGTTATGCACATGTGCAAACAGGTGCTAGCTTTGTTTAACCCCGTTTTCATGCGCATGGGAAGACAAGCGCATGCGCAGATTGTTTTTTTAAAAAACAAAAAAAACAAAACCTGGGACGGCGCGCTGTGTGAACAGTACTTTGCGCGAATGAAGCGGAAGACAGAGGGACCGTCTGACCACCTCCAAGTGATATAAAATGTCGCGGATAGAAGAACTGTGGGAAAACTAGCGCGGTAAGAGGTCAGTGTGACCGCGCGGCCCTACATACATCTCACAATTCCACAATCTCACAAAATACGGGCAATAATACATCATTACCACTAGATGGTACCAAATCCCTGCTGTTCGCACAGTGCCAAGTAAGGAGCGTTGCAGGATGTTCCTCTGAGAGATGTCTCATACGAACTGTCTTTTTGCTGGTGGGCAGCCGTATTGATCTGAAGCAGCAGAAAAAAGTTTGAGTTCAGTGGCACCTTTAAAACCAACAAAGTTTTATTCAAGGTACAAGCTTTTATATGCATGCACACTTCCTCAGATGCAGTGAAATGTATCTGAGGAAGTCTGCGTGCTTACGAAAGCTCATGCCTTGAATAAAACTTTGTTGGTCTTAAAGGTGCCACTGGACTCAGACTTTGTTCTGTTGTCTTTTTGCAATTAGCAAAGTACTTTGGTATTAAATGGTGTAAGATGTACTGTTAGCAAAATGTTTAGAATCATTGCTACAAACTTTCTAGCAAAACAATCCTTGAAATATTAGAAACACGCCCCCATGACCAACTTTCAGCATGGCCAGTGGAATTTCTGATTGTTCTCTCTTTAAACAGAAGGCTCGCCTTGTCTCTCATGCTTAGGATTGCCAACCTCCAGGTGGGACCTGGAGATCTGCTGGAATTACAGCTCATCTCCAGACGACAGAGATCAGTTCCCCTGGAGAAAATGGCTGCTTTGGAGGGTGGACTCTGGCATTATATCCAGCTTAGGCCCCTCCCAAGCCCTGCCCTCCCTAGACTCTACCCCAAAATCTTCAGGAATTGGGCAACCTGGAGCTGGCAACCCTATCTTGCTCTACGAGAAACTGGTTTGGAAACTCTCTTCAGAGTCTAAAGTACTTTCCAAGGCAGTCTTGGGTGAAAATTAAAGAAGCACAGGAGCAAAGCCTTCTCAGGCCTATGAAGGCCTGTAAGGTTCAAGTTAGGCAGCTCAGGACACCGGAAAAGCTTTCAAAATGTTATAATACCTCCAATAAAAATTGTTGGAAATGCAAGAAGAATGTAGGAACCTTTATGCATATGTGGTGGAGGTGCGAGAGGGTACAGAGATACTGGGGAAAAATATTTAGGATGTTAAATGATATAATAGGAGAGCCAATACCTTTTGTACCTGAGATAGCCCTTCTAAACATGCTCCCAGAAACATATGTTAAAACAAATAAATATGTAATTATATATCTACTTACGACAGCTAGATTGCTGTTAGCCAGTAAATGGAAACTAGAAGATTTACCCTCTAGAAAGGAAGTAATTAATAAAATGTTATCGGTGGTTGAAATGGATAAACTAAGTTTGATGCTAAAAGGTAATAGTAAAGAATCTTTTGAAAAAAGATGGAAAAGATTCTATGTATGGCTAGATAAAGAAAATCTGAATGACTCACAAGAATGAAAAATGTAACTCGAAGAGATAACTGTATGTTGGAAAATATCAAATAAACTTTGGGAAAAAAAAGTTAGGCAGTTCATTCCCTCATTTCCACAGTGTTCCACATCTGGGTAGAATCCTGTGGAAAATTTTCACTAATGGAAGGGGAACTATTTCCATGGATTCCCACTGTCTCCTGTAAACTTCCAGCTCTGTCCTTGTTGTTCCAGGGAAGGACAACTGTCCCCGGGGAGCACATTTTCAGGGCTATTTTGAGCTATAGGAGGAGGGGCAAGGCAAGGAAATATCATTCAGCGGATAGAGATACCTTCCATTGAGAGATTTACCTGGTTACCATCCTAAGAACATACCCTTTTTGTTCTGGAAATGAAGAGAGAATCCTTTTGACTGCTGCTTTGACCTCAAAATCCTATACTCGGCATAGGGTTGCCAACTTTGTCTTGGAAATTCCTGGAGATTTGAGGCAGTGCCTGGGGAAGGTGGAGTTTAGGGAGAAGTGGGAGCTGAGTACGAATGGGATGTCACAGCCGCCATTTTCTCCAGCGACACTGATTTCTGTAACCAGGGGTCATTTGGTAGAAAAAGAGGTGCAGGAGCTCATTAGCATAACTTATTAGCATGACATATTTGCATATGCCACACCCCCTGACATCACCGGA